TTAACCAGCTTTTACTTAGGAACTACCAGCTCCTGGCCACCAAGGATCCTGCCCGCTCTCCACCAGATCAGCTAACCCACTGTTAAAATGGACCTGTCTCATCGATGGTCCCTGTTCCTGGAAGCTTTGGCCGCAGACTCCTGGATGCTCTCCCCTACAGCCTCCTACACACACTGGACTCAACAAATCACCGACCTGTGGCTTCAGGGAACCTTTCTAGAGTTCTCCCCCTTCGAAATTATCTTATTCTCTACCCTCTTTTGGGTCCTGTTACAAAATCCCCAACCTTCCCCCAATTCCTCTTCCTCTACTACGCCCCCGTCCAGCAGGAAGTAGCTCGAAGATCATGGCGACCCACTCCCCACAAAAGAGGAAAAAGGGAGGAATGTAGGGACCCCATGGGCACCTGAACAGGGACACACCCTGGCAATATGGCGCCCTTCCTGGTTCTTCTCCGCAGTAAACAAGCTCGCTGGCGCCAACACCCAAGCCCACCCACGCTAAATCTCAGCCAGTCACAGATCAAGGCTCACCTCCTGCCCAGCCCCGTCCAATCAGTTACCACCCCGTCCACTCTCTCTCCCGCCCCAGAGCACAGCACCCTATAAATGTCCGTGCAGGCCTTGAATAAAGCGGAACTTCTCTGGGTAACTGTCAGACTGGGTCTCGCTGCCTTTCTTTCAGCTGTGACCACTAAAAGTTGCTATTGAACTTTGTTTTAGAGATTCTACCAAAGTAATGAGACAAAATAGAACAATTTATGTAAATATTGGAAAATAAAAGATGAAATTATCTCTTTTGGGGAAAGAGGGTCCAATCATCATAACAGCAACAATGGCAATAACAAAAAACAAAAAAGAAAAAGAAAAATCCCTAAAAACTACCAGGGAATGCATTCATTAAGACATATACAGAGTCCACATGAAGAAAATAATTGACATAGAATACTACATCTTTTGATTACAGGATTTAATAGCATAAAATGAGAACTCTTAAAATTAATGTTTAATACCAGTTAGAATTCCAGTCTTTTAAAAATCTGCACAAAATTGTCTTAATACTGATGTGGAAGAATAAATATCAGGGAAGAGCCAAGAAAGTCCTGAAAAAGAATGCTGTAGGAAAAGATGTCTTCACAGATATTAAAACTTAAGAGAAAGCCACAATAATAAAACAAATATTTCACTGGAACTGAAATTTATCCTAATACATAAGGGATTTTTAAGTAAAATACAGATGTCATTTTAATCCACTGGGAAAATTATGGTTTATACTTTACTCAAAGGGCTATCTATCTAGCATGAAATAAAGTTGAATCTTCATACCATATATGGGAAAAGATTTCAGAAGGATTAAACACTAACATAACTATAAAAATCTCTGGAAGATTTAAGTGACTAAAGGTACAACCTATGGATTGGGGGAGAATTATTTACCTCAAAAAAAAAATGTAAACAAAAACTGTCATACAGAAAGCAAACATTCTGGGCCGGCCCGGTGGCGCACTGCTACAGTGCGCCGCTTGGGAAGTGCGGCAGCGCTCCCGCCGAGGGTTCGGATCCCACATGCAGACCGGCCACTCACTGGCTGAGCAAGGGGCGGGAGCAACACCGAGGGTTGCGATCCTGTTGCCGGTCCCGGTCCGGTACGGGCGCGACACTGAGGGTTGCGATCAGTTGCCGGACACAAAAAAAGACAAAAAGGAAAAAAGAAAAAAAAAAAAGGAAAGCAAACATTCTGATGTGGCAAAAGAAAGACTAAGGAAAAAAATACCTGCAATGCCTATCACAGGTTAATACAGAGGATTAACCTCCCACAATATACAAAGAGTTTTTACAAATTTTTCAGAAAAAAGAAAACCACTTAATAAAAGTAAATGGGCAAAGGATATAAATAAATAATTCATAGAAAAATAATTCTAAATATCCAATAAATATTGTTAACTAAGTACTCTAATTAAAATAACAATGAATTATCACTTCTCCCTCAAGATATGGCAAAAAATTAAAAGGAATGACTAACACCTACTGCTGATCAGCATGTCTGGAAAGTGTACTATTGTATGTTGCTGGTGAAAATATAAATTTTTACAATCTTTTTAGAGTGCAATCTGGCAATATCTATTAAAATTCAAACCACACAGGTTTTAGAATACACTGATATTATGAAATATTTGGCAGCCATTAAAAAGAACATGAGTTCTATACCAGGTAAATCAGACATAGAGCCAGCATGTATCTTTGAGTGGAAAAGGATTTTAGATAAGGAATTTTAAAATAAAAATAATTTTAAAAATTCTAAAAAGCAATCTACAAAAAGTAACCTAAAAGTTTATGATGAAATCAACCTGATGAATGTGATCCCATTTATATAAAGTTATATATGTGCATCTTTATAAACAAAGATATCTAAAGTGGCATTGAAATGTAGTTATTTTAAAGGTAAGATTTCAGCTAGGATTTTTTTTTTTTACTATCTTTCACATCTCTGCAGTTTGAGTTTTCAAGCATGACTATATATATAAGGGTACTTCAAAAAGTTCATGGAAAAATAGAAAATAACATAATATAAACCTGTCCATGAACTTTTTGAAGACCCCACATATTACTTACATAGTAACTTAGTTATACCTTCTCTTATCTTTCCCCCTCTATTGAATCAAATGTCAGTTCCTATTGATTTTATCTCTGGAATCTTTCTCAGATTCGTGCTCTGCTTTACATTCCCAGAGTTTAACCCTTCACCATCTCTCACCTGCACAACCACAGCAGCCTAACTAAACCCTCTGCTTCCATATCACTCCGTATCATGACTGGTTTCCTTCCTATTAAACAAAATACACACCCAACTATGCCAATTCCCTCCTAAAAACTTGAGCAGTTCTTCACTGAACACAAAATAAGAACCAAACCGTACCATACCATCTGAGGCTCTCCGAGTCTCGTTCTAAACTATCTTACCCTCCAACTCCTGTTAGTTTACTCTTTCATTCAGCAAACATTTGCTGTGTGCTTCCTATGTGCCAGACGCTGTTCTAGCGTCTGTGCTCAATCAGTCAAAACACTAGTGTCACAACAGCCAAAACTGCCTGCCCCAGCCTTGTGGACGTCATACCCATGTGGGGATAGGGAGAGAGAGACATAGAAGTTCCACAGCATGTAATTACTATGGGAGAGAGATATGGAGTGTTGGTGGGGGTTGCAATTTTTAAACAGGGTGGCCACGGTAACTCTTCATTGAGGTGACACTGGACAGATTTGAAGATGGTGAGTGAGTCAGCCCAAGGATGTTGGAGGAAAATGCCCCCCGTCCTCCACACTGTGTAAAGACCCTAGGATGAAAGAGAGGCTGTATATTCCAAGAATAGCAAGGAGGCCACTGTGACTGAAGCTAAGGAAGCAAGGGCAAGAGCAGTAAGACATGAGGTCAGAGAGGGGACAGGACTGGGGTCTAGACCAGAAAACGGACCTGGATTTTTACTATGAATGAAACGGGGAATGTAATCAGCACTGACGATGCCTGGTTATTAACCTCTTCCCAAGTGTCAGTGCTTACTTGACAGGTATGTGGGCTAAATTCTCAAGCTCCCTTGTCCCTGACAAGGACAACTCCTGAGATGTAACTTACACTGACTACAGAGCTCCCCTACAGGACTGAACCAAAGTTATTTTCTGTGGAATGCACCTTTGCGTGGCTTTCTTCCTTTTCATATCCCGCTTACCCACAACCCTGCTGGTTTTTCCTGGGAACACTTTCTGAATTTTGCTTACATGAATCTTGGTCTTAGGGTCTGCTAAAACAGAAAGCTACCAAAGAATTTTACATGAGATGTGGCATGATTTATTCAATAAATTGTTGGTAAGAATGCTGAAATACTAACTGTTCTTAAAATACATGTCATATTACTCACACATGCTGGGTTTTTCGCAAAGAAATAATGACTCCTTTTTTCCCTCCCCACTGTAAAAAGCTTTACTCATTCCTCAAAATGCCATCCAAAATGACAATTCTTGCTGCATGCAATCCTTTCCAGCCTCTTTTTTTTTTTTTTTTTTTCCTTTTTTTTTTTTTCCGT